TTAATTTTGGCATGAAGAGGAAGTACTGAATTTAAAAGGTGTTCTTAGGCCTCTAATATATTTTATTTCCACTATTTCAAACAAAGAGGGAAATTAAAGGGTCAACAAGAGTTTCAGCAGTAATTTATCGCAGAAGAAATACTGATGAGCTCAAGGCTACATTATGAAAAGGCCTCTGTCTTTCTATCTGTAATCACACAAAGAAGCCATGAAGAACAACTTCAGCTGTATCCGACTGGCACACTTTTTCTAAGATAATAGCATACAGCTACAAAGCAGATAATGAAGGGACAAAGAACATTGTTATTGAAATATCCGTATCTAATTCTCGCAGGCTCACCTGCAAGGCTGTGACTGAACAAATATGAGTGTGAGAAATTAAAGCTAAACTGACAACGTCAACATCATTTGAAACATAATTCATTTGTTTTCGGCTTTTTTCTAATTTGTGTCATTGTACAACAGTGAAACTCTTCTGATGACATTCATTCAAAAATTAGATCTATTGTACTTATTTATTGGCAATTACCTGAGCTATAGTGTCATGAGAAGACCAGCTGAAAATGATAATGACATTATGAAGAAGAAGAAAAAAAAAATGCTGACTGTCTGATAGCACCATAAAACATGTACATTCCCAAATCTTTCACTACACTGGCAGTCGTAATCCATCAAAAATCTACTTTAATATAATGGAAAAATGTGTGACATTGCTTGTAGCAATTAAAAATGGTCAGAATAGACAGTAACTTCTGGATAGCTAAAGAATAGCTAAAGAAATATACTTTTTTATATATTTTTTTTATTTTTTTAATAAGTTTTGCTGCCAAATAAAACAGCATATTCAAAATTTTGGGGTCAATAATATTTTTTTATGTCTTAATTAATGCATTTATTCAGCAAGGACACATTAAATTGATCATAAGTGATAGAAAAGAAAACTAAGAAATCTGAAGAAAGAAAAAACTACAAAAATGCAGTGTAAAATTCAAAATACATGTAAAACACCTGTACCTTTTTTTAACATATACGTGACCCTGGACCACAAAACCAGTCATAAGGGTCAATTTTTTGAAATTGAGATTTATACATAAATAAATAAGCTTTCTATTGATGTATGGTTTGTTAGGATTGGATAATATTTGGTTGAGATACAACTATTTGAAAATCTGGAATCTGAGGGTACAAAAAAAACAAAATATTGAGAAAATCACCTTTAAAGTTGTCTAAATTAAGTTCTTAGCAATGCATGTTACTAATCAAAAAATAAGTTTTGCCTTTAAAGATGTCTAAATTAAGTTCTTAGCAATGCATGTTACTAATCAAAAAATAAGTTTTGATATATTTACAGTGGGAAATTTACAAAATATCTTCATGGAACATGATCTTTAGTTAATATCCTAAAAATCTTTGGCATAAAAGAAAAATCGATCATTTTGACCCATACAATGTATTGCTGGCTATTGCTACAAATGTTCCCCTGCTACTTATGACTGGTTTTAGCATCATAAAACTAATAATGATATGGATGGCCCCAAATGACAAAAACACAAAAAAATTGTTCACTAGAATAGATACTGGGTCTGAATGGGTTAACAAATCTAAAGGTCCGGTGCTAAAAACTGGCTGGTTTTATACCTTCATTTTCAGCAGTGGCTGTATTTCTTCTAAACCTAGAGGACACCCAAGTCGATGCCTCTAAAATGGTCACACTCCGTATCATATGCCAAAACAAGTCGTGGACCACTGGGGATAGAGTTGGATGTCAAATAGCCTGTATTAAAAACAGCTTTGCTTAGAAAGTAAACCCAGACAGTGGGTGGAGGACCAGACTTGCCCAGAGCAAGTGGCTGGAGCTTAACAACTCATTCCTGAACGAAAAGCATAAAACCTTCAAATGCTTGAAAAACGTGTGTAGTTCTTTATGCTGGATAAGGTAAACTCCAAAAGATGGTTAAGATGTTAGCAAGGTGACTGTACACATTTGCACACTAACCAGCCCCTGCCAGCTGAAATTGTATCTAGTATCCAAAAATGCAATGTGAAGATTAAACAGGCAGCTATTTAGTTTATTTCCATTTTAGGCCCCAGATTGTTGAATTCCTTTCTCAGGGGAACAGTTGTTAGTTCATTTTAGCTAAATGTCATACAATGTAATTGTTAGATTAACAACAGCAAAGCAATCCAGTTTTGGTTTCTAAAGCTATTAAGACTAAGGCAACAAGGATGTGATTATTTAAGCAGAAGTTCTGCATTAACTTGCAAGAGCAATCCACAAGTGTCTTCACGATTTTCTACATGTTGCTGTCTAATCATTATTGCACTCCTTTCATACACATGAAATAATGTCTGTCCTTACTTTTTTGTTACAGTAAGATGCAACCAAGCAGTCGGGGTTCAGCCTATTTTGCCCCTTGTGGCAGGTGCTGTAATTACACACTCTATCAAGCAAAAAACATCTTTCTCCAATGATTCCTATTTAAAAAATGCTATGTACTGTGACTAAAATCAAAAATTTAAATGTCTAATTTCAACAGTTTGCTACCAAAGATCTCATTGGTTGTAATGGCACATAAAAAAAAAAAAAACTTATATCACATTGTCTTGTGATCTTGTGTTTACTACTATAATGCCCCACACTAAGAAAAAAATTAAAAGATTTTCATACTCCTTATTGTTTTCCAGTACATACATCTAAACATCAAGACACATTTACTGGGAAGCAAACTGACTTAAAATATGTCTTGTTTTCTGAAAAACGTATCAAAATTAAGTTAGTTTATAATCTTGTTTTAACCAAAACCTTCATAATCACTTAATTTTAATAATTTATTTGATCTGAAATTTCTTCTAATTTCAGATATTAACAATATCTTAAGTCATTTTGCTTCTCAAATATGTACTTGATTTCAGAAAGTATAGATATTTGTACTGGAAAACAAGACAAAAATGCTGAGAAAGATTTTTTCTTTCTTTGTTTCTTTCATCTGCAGTTCAGGGAATCAATAAACTACTATCCTATTACATGCAGTGCGCATTATTAAATGCATTTTCTGAAAGGCATGAGAAGTTTGAAGCCTCAGAAATCTCACACCCTCAGGCAGATCGTTTTAAATTGTAATTCCCATGTAAAGTCATTCTCAGCACACACAGCTCGTCGAACCTCCTGGTTTGCGGTCTGCCAGGGATATTTTAGTGGTTACAACTTGTACACAGTTGGCTGTTCCTCTGTATTTACAGCCTCTGTGTTTATGGGGAAGTGCTGAATATGCATATGAGACACAACGGGAGTCTTAAACCTGGCATCATCAAATACCTCCCTCTGAATCCACTCTTTGTACTAGGTCTTTCAATGAAAAGGGATTCACGTTACTTCACTATAACCAAAATGAGAAACACCTGGCAAGGTAAAGCTTCATAATGTGCTCTCTTGAGGGTAGTTAGCACTCCATCTGTCCAACATTTAGGCCTAGTGAGCTGACTTTCTGCCTTCTAAGGCAGCATCCTAAACACTGTGGAACATAGGTAGCATGTCGCAGTGCATTATGGGATTGCCTTGTCTGCAAAGGATCCATGTAATTCTGCTTTAGAATGTGTCTGAAACAATGGCTGTGTCCAAAAATCATAGGTACAATAAGTAGTATGAATAATACATTTGTCATTTTGTTATTGTCATGTGACCTACCAGCGTCAGTTTCATCACTTCACTGACATTCACAAATCCTCTCCTGTGCCCTAATGGAACAGTAAAGTGTCCACCAGACGCACACTTCAGAATTATGCCAGAAATAGTAGTTTATCCAGGGACTTGTTTGCCTCCTGTTTCATGAATCCTCAGACATACTACTCTGTTCACTGTTTTTCACCTACTATATAAGTATGTGATTTCAGATGCAGCCAAGGCATTTTAGAAGGCAACAAAATTAATATGTGAACTGATCAGGAGTGCATTAAAATTAAAAGCTTTAAAATGCTTGTCTTGCATACAACTCACAAGGTTTTGGAACAAAGATTTTGCTTATCTGAACGACTAGCCCTGTCGTTTTTGTAATATCGGTGACGATATCCTAATTTCTGCTCACAATGGAATTCCACCTTGGTCATGTGAAACTGCAGAATACAGGCAATCACATCCCCATGGCCTAATGACAAAGCGCTAAGCATTTTCTGAGCAATAAAGCACAAAAAAAATGTTAATACTGAAGCATATAAATGTACATGCCAGGTGGTTCTGAGAGCTTGGCTGCATTATTTATCTCTTTACTTTTATGACACTTGGCATGCTATGATAACCCCCGATGGAGTGAAAACAGAATACATGCTGACTAAATTGCTTCATTATCATGGAGGTGAATCAGGAAAGAGATCTTGAGAGAAGTGAAGCTATTTAAACGGAAACCAGGATTGTCAGGCGTACAAATTGTAAAAGTTTAGAGATTTCAAACAAAGGCCTGAAAGGCTTCAAGTTATGTAATGAGCCTACAAAACTGAAGAAACAAAGGCCAGATGTGAACGTCTTCCCCTCTTCGATAGTGACTAATGCGTTAATGAGGTTGCAGGAGAGCTGGATGCACTGGAAAAAGACTAACATCATATTTATCATGAGATATCACACCCTTTGGTGTTCAATGTATTGTACTAATACTGTCAAATTATTAAAAATCAATTGCTTATCAGAATAACATTACAAAAAGCACCAATCAATATCAATATATTTCCATATTCCATTTTATAACACTAAAAAATTTATGCATATAGCCCTATTTTTTTTTCTTTTGCATTATTGAATTATTTATCCATTCAATCAGCAATTACACATAGCAGAGTGTATGATAGTGAAAATGATTTTGTCATTAAAACCTCTCTTATTTGTAAAATGGAGAAAAACTATTTCTTCACCTAATTTAACCTTTGATTCTGAGCTTCGTGAGGTCATACGTGGCGACGTCTCCTCTCCAACCTAAGACTCCTTGATGTTGAGGCTAAATGTGAAAACATACCTTTTACTGCCTCTGGCTAGTATATCGTCTATAACCATTTCCAAGTCTCACCGAGCTGAAAGAAAAGAAATGGATTTTATGTTCTCTTTAAAAATAACTTCCTCAAAGTGAAGAAAAAAAGTTTTTCTCCCTGACATCCAACTGGTAAGGTGTTTTATTGTTGCAGTTTAAAACATTGGCTCTAAAACAGCAACTAGTTGCATGATGAGATCATTTGATTTCAATTTGTGTGGTGGAATATGGAAATACTGCACCAATTAATACAGAGAAGCATAACCACTCAGCTTCACTTAATCAAAGATGTTTCGAACAGCAATAAAAATGGTCTCTTTGGCAGCTTTGTGAGGCATAATCCAAATGTATCTATTCATTAGGTAAAAAATAAATCTGCTGAGCTCAGCACTAATATATTTTTCTCTGTTTCATTTCGGTTCTCTTAGACTTCAGGATTAATCAAATAATGAGAGGGAACAACAACTATAAAACAGAGGTCCAAGTTCTACATCCAATGGAAAATATAAATTCCTTCCAGGCTTTTTTGGTCCAACTCTGCTGGAAAAAAAACTATAGAAAATGAAAGACAAAAAGAGAGGGCAAGGGAGAGTGAATGTACTGCTTCCCAACCAGTACCTACCTGAAGACATCAAGCCTGTCCAAGCAAATGGGTTCGATGAAAAAGTGTGTCAGTCAACCTCGGGTGACTCCTACATCTGTTCTTTGTTTTTGATTGTTTGTTTGTTTACATTATGAGCGTGCCATGAACCTTACATTCGTGCAATTCTGCATAATTTTGCAATTGTGCATGCTATGTGTTTGCACACGACAAAATATCTAACATAATGTGCCATTTCCAATGTTTTTAAAAGGCTTCACTTTGAATGCTGTAACATTACCATCTATCGAAGATTACTATTGATGTATGATTATTAATAAACCCTTCTGGTGCTATAAAAACATTGTTATGTTTGAGCATCCCGACCAGACTGACACAACAACAGCGGCTCAACCAATAGCGGGATTGTGTGCAAAAAAATAAAATTAATTAATTTAAAAAATTGTTTAAATATGTAAAAATGGTGTTTTATAACAATATTTTGTTTTATAAATAATTTTTTTTTCTAATCTTTTTGGTTACTCTCTTATAGCTTCAACTTTTAAGTAAATTGCACTGATCTAGTAGTTTCTAATCCACTAAAACAGTTATTATATAAATGACCATACTTATTCTCAGATAAAATCCAAAACCCATTTATCCATATATTTATATCTTTTTTTTTTTTTTTTGATAACACTTCACTGAAGGCCATTATGATATAATCTGTTTGGCATTATAAAAAAAAAAAAAAGAACGAAAGAAAGAAAGAAAGAAAAAAAGAAAGAAAGGCAGTAGTGACTTTCCTATCACTTGTCTAACTATAATTCACACTGATTTTTGCCATCTCCATAATCTCTCTTTACCAAGAATCAAAGAATGTTCTAATTATGGCTATTAGGACAGACTCTTTGATGTAATCGTTTGATGTGAATATTACTGTCTGCTCTCATTAGTCGGGCCTGTCAAGTTCATTCTCTGTTACGCTCACCTTAATGTTCGTCTCAGTGTTGTTAGTCCACTTACAGTTACTCTGTCCAACATCAGGTCTGGTTAATTAAATACAGCCTTTTATTTCTCTCAGAAGGCAATTTGTTTTGCAGCTGGCTTAACAAATTAAATCAAGTGCTAAGCATTTAAAAAGCACAATAATCAGTTATTTATAACATCTGAAATTACTATCACATGTGTGTACGTGTGGGAGAGAGAGCTGGGTAGCATAAGAAGGCTCTTTTTTGCAGCTGCATGGGTAAAATCCTCTTCACAACAGACTCAAGGGCATGGAGGAGGACAAAAATTTAATCTTGCCATGTTTTCCCTCTCAGGTGATTAGGTTTGTTGAAAAACGCTGCCCTTTTAACCCCTTGCTTGCAACAATGCCTTGCATTCTGCTCTATACAACCACATTTTAGCATGCATTTTTATTTAATGTACTGTTCTTGAACAATCTGAATGTCATCGACAAGTGTAATGACAGAATAATCAAGCTATCATCTGTATCTGAACTTTTCAGATCAGATTGATTTCACTACTAATATTTGCTGTGCAATGCTGACCTCTAGTGTTAGAATATGGCAGTGCTAGTTCTAACAAGACATAAATATGGGCCAAACGACTACATGCATCATACATTTCATTCAATCCTCAATTCCCTATTAGTTATTCAAAAGATGTTTCCCTTCACTCCACAATTACACATGTTGCTGGCAAGTGTTTTGACAATATTAATGTAGCAGCATCATAACTGCAAAATGTAACCCAATGACAAAGATGTAATAACTGAAAAGTGACATATTAAAATACTTAAGTTTAATAATACTCACTTGTGCAAACTGTATGAACTCCATCTGCAATGACATGCAAACCGGATCTGCTGTTAAAATGGAAGACCGGGGTTAGTTATCACACTTTTACTCCAAAAGACATTTATATGACATTCGTCTGCATGGATTCAGATTTATAGAACACATTGATGCAATACACCATATAATTCATTTATTTCACAAACAAAAGTGTCCAATACCAGGAGGGTTAACCAAGATAAAGCAAGTAGGTTGGTCATGTGATATAAACCTGCCACCATGAGATGCTCCATGTAAAATACATTTCTACACTACCAATGACTGGATTTGTCATTTCATATGAATATTTTTTAACATATTTTGATTATTGAATGCACCTTTGAAGCCTTGGCAAGTGGCTAGAAAAAAAAATAAAGATATTGAATATTTTTACCAAAATATTTTACAGAATATAAATATAAAACTTGATATAATATATTCCTTTATAAAATATATTCCTTTTTGTGATGAATGTTGTCACAAACAATCTATTTATTAATTTAACATTTGATTTGTAAAGCTTGTAAAGTTAAATTGATGAATGATCCTTTGAGGTATTGTCAAACGGCTACAGAAATAATAATAATAATAAAAAAACATTTAATATGAAAATCTTTTATGGGGCATGTTGTCACAATACCTGCCATTAAGATGTCACAAATAGCCTATTTATTGATTTTTTTTTTTTTTCAGTGAAACATTTCTGAGGCACAGCATTATTTTTAAAACAGCTACAATGTAAAAGGCAACATTAAGCAATATCGCAGAAGCAAGAGTGCTGTTGTTATGAATATCTTCACAGGTGTGATTCAGCTGTTGGCAAAAGGCTGCAGGCCGAAGCAAACGTGTTCAGTAAACTGTATATTTTTACACAACAGTTCCAACACTAGTAAATAATATAAAATAACTTACATTTAAGGCTTAATTTGGCCAGTTAGTTGACATGTTTCTTCTCCGTCAACGAATTTATTTAAGAGTTTCAAAACCAGCTAAGCCATCAAGCTTTGATGGTGACAAGGAAACACAAAGACCGTTATGGAGAACACGAATGAGTGGAACGGAGCGACACTGATTTTGCACTCACAGCCTGACTCGGCTGTAACTCCACTCCGCGTTTTCCATTTCCCGCTCCACGCACGCAGACCTCAAACAATCAACACCAACACCAGTGGATCTACTTTCATCCGAATATGTTGCTAGTGTAGATTTATTAAGTTTGTTTACGTGCTATAGCATAAATATTATGCAATTATATTTCTTTACAGGACATAATTCACGAAAAATAATAAAAAATATTCTAATTTACGCTTTAAATCAATTATAATTTTTTTTTAAAACGCTATATTTAGTGAGATTTGATGTTGCGATTTGTGCAACAGACAGCCGTACAAATAACTGTAGGAAGACACGCAATTCATTTTTGAGCGCTGGTGTCGTTTTATTTCTCTTGGGGGCGGAACAGTGACCAATCAGGTCCCTCGCTCTTCAACGAAGCGTTTTCATTGGCTACCACCAACATACGGCTGACAATACACGTGAGCAATCTTACGTAAGGCCGCAACTGACCAATCAGAGCTCTCAAATCCTACAGGAAGTTGTGTAGTTACGTTGCTATTTTCACTGGTTCTCGTGTTTGGTCTAACCCAAGAAAAAAATCTGACTCATATTATTTATTCTTTGCATTTTCGCTCCAGCAAAATGAAACACAACTCCAACGTTCCCGCATTTATCACCAAGCTTTGGACCCTCGTCGAGGATTCGGATACAAATGAATTTATTTGCTGGAGCCAGGTAACGTTAAATGAAAGAAAAGACCCGAATGTTAGCATTGTAGCTTAGTTTATAGTGACACAGATATTTGTGATCCGGGTCCTGTGCGATTAGATGTTTGTTATGATGTATGTGTGTCAGATCATAGATGTCGTGCTATGATATAAGTATTAAGATTTGCAACATATATATATTTTTTCCATTTTATTTTTTTATTTAACAGTTCTATTATTATTTAGTTCTTTAGAGGATTTGCACATGCATATATATATATATATATATATATGTGTGTGTGTGTGTGTACACATATTTTTTTTCTCTCACCCTAATGTTGATACCTTCATAGTATTCTTTTTATTGTTATTTTTTATTGTCATTTCTCTGTGAAATACAAAAATAGCATTTTGATGTAATTTCTTTTTAATTGTTTTCAATGTAAACACTCTTCTATTCAATCAAGAATTTATATTGACCATGTCTGTAAAGCTAAAAAAAAAAAAAAACACACAGAATGTGTTCTACAGAATTAGGAACAACATACAAAATGACAGGTCTGTTTTATTTAGTTTACAAAGCTCTACGTTTATTTTTATAGGAAGGGAACAGTTTCCTTGTACTGGATGAACAAAGGTTTGCAAAAGAGATTCTCCCAAAGTTTTTCAAGCACAACAACATGGCCAGTTTTGTCCGACAGCTCAACATGTGTAAGTGGTTTCTCTACAGCTCCACCGAAATTCTCCTCCTTCCTCATTGTTCAGCTGTAATTTGAGATCAATGTTCGTTTCTTTGTCACTTTGTTCCTTTCCTTTACAAACAGATGGTTTTCGCAAGGTGATGCACATTGACACGGGCATAGTGAAGCAAGAGCGAGATGGACCAGTTGAATTTCAGCATCCATATTTCAAACATGGGCAAGATGACCTGCTAGAGAACATCAAAAGAAAGGTAAATCTCTGTTAAAAATGACGAAATTAGAAGGTAGAGACCTGAAAATAAGATGCAAATGAAAATATTTAGAGAACATTTATTTTAAAATAGTGTCATTATGATTATTTTTCTTGATACAGGTGTCAAATGCTCGCCCTGAAGAGAGCAAAATAAGGCAAGATGATCTTTCTAAAATTCTGACAAGCGTTCAGAACGTACATGAGCAGCAAGAAAACATGGATGCTAGACTTGCTACATTGAAAAGGTAATGAAATACTCTTATTAGAAGCTTAATTTGTACTTGTGCCTTATCCTGTATCATTTAATTTCGTCCATGTGCATTTACCCAGAAGTTAAGGAAACAAACCGTCTAATCACTAGTTGTACCTAATAATGCCCTGTTCAGCAAGTATCAACATGGTTAAACAAACCACTCTCTTTCTCTTTTCTGTTGTCTTTTCTTCAGAGAGAATGAAGCTCTTTGGACAGAGCTGTCAGACCTCAGACAGAAACATTCACAGCAGCAGCAGGTCATAAAGGAGGTACGTTCTACTTGCACATAGCAGTTTTGCAGACATTTCAATTGTATTTCAGCATAAAATGTGCATGATCTAATGCACAGGTTTGAATGTTAATGCCACTTTTTGTATTGTTCCCTGCAGCTGGTGCAGTTCATCTTCACATTGGTTCAGAACAATCGTATGTTAAATTTAAAACGCAAAAGGTAAGTCTAAAAAGTATGTGTATGCATCTAATAAAAGTACACTACTGGCGTTCCAAATTTTGACAGCAAAGTAAAAAAAAAAAAAAAAGTTTCAAATAAATCACTTTCAAAGAATCCTGAATAAAAACTATTAACAGTTAACAAAAATATTAATTAGCTGAACAGTTTTTAACATTTGATAATGATAAGAAATGTTTCTTCAGCACCAAATCAGAATATTAGAATAATTGCTGAAGGCTGGAGTAATAGCTGTTGAAATTTCAGCTTTGCCATCACAGAAATGAAATACATTTTAAAATATATTAAAACAGTTATTTTAAATAAAAGATGAGTAATTCAGTAATTTTGAGAGAAAGAATTTATATATTTTAAATAAAATGTTATTTTATTATTATAAATTAAAAACAAATATTAATATATTTTACACTTATTAATATGTACATTATGTATACCTTTTATGATTAATATGTACTTGCTGTCTAATTTCAGGCCACTTACACTGAACAGTAACGGAAAGAAGTCTAAATTCATCCACCAGATCTTCGAGGAACCTATGGACCACAGCAAAGTAGGTGTAAAACCATCCAGGGGTGATTAGGTTCCATGCACTCTGTCTCTCCTTGCTACTAGGAGGAAATGTGCTCTTGTCAGTTATATTGTAAATGTAATGTTGCTATTCATTATCTTGCGTTTTTCTCTCTTAATGAGATTTGAGGCAGGGTTCACTTTGTGTGAAAGTGTGCTGCCCCTGGATAGGAACCTTAATTTGTGAGAATCACCGTCAGTTAAATTCACGTTGGTGGGGGACCGATTTATTTATATAAACATTATATTCCTCATTAATATTGCAACTCGAAGATCTGTTTGTCAGAGACTCATCTCTGTTAGTCTGCAGTGAATGGACTCAATGGATTGAAGAACAGTTCTGACATTTCTGAAGACGTCGTCTTCTGTGACATCACAGAAGAAGATGCAGAATTTACAGATGGCGTATCGGTACCAGCTGACCAAGGGTAAGCATTTAGGTTTTGATTCAAACCATTGCACCTCCTTTGCATAAAGTTTTGACAGAAAATTAGAAATGAGATCTGTGTTTTCTTGATTTCTTACAGAGATGCTGAAATTGTGGAAGTTGCTTGTGAAAGCAGCCCGACTATAAGAAATGACAGCACAAACGAAACTGGAACAAATTCAACCACTCAACAAGAAGCAGTACCCAAAATCATCTCTGACATTTCATCAAGCACCCTGCAGTTGAACAAACCCTCAGCTCTAAGTTCAGAGGATCCAGTGAAGCTGATGAACTCCATTCTCAGTGAAAATGGAGCCATTTCACAAAACATAAACCTTCTTGGCAAGTAAGTAGGCCAGTGTTGCCCATATACAATACAAGGCTGTTGAGATTTAATATCCATCCTGATGAGCTTCTCACTTGCCAAGAGAAAAAAAAAAAAGTTCCTTGCTATTGAGTAAACAACTATTATTCAAACTCTGAGAACTTATTTATGGAAGCCAGTTTCTACCACATAAGAAAAAAAATGTTTAGGTAAATCACAATCCACAATTTGGACTTTATCTCATAATCAGTCTCATAATTGAGATTTTGAATCTAATTAATTTCAATGTTTTAAATTTTTTCTCTATTTTTTTTCATAATTGATTTTATCTCCTAATTATGTCATCTCAAAATTTTTGTCACATAATTCTGACTTTTTCTCTCATAATTTGGGCTTTTTTTCCTCATACGTAGTATCTCATATTTATGACTTGGTGTCTGTCATGTGGTGGAAATAGGCTTTTATTCTACTAAATAATTGGTTCAACAAAATTCAGGCTTTGCATTTCTCTTTATCTTTTATTATTGATTCATTTTTTTATTGGTGAGACTTTTAGTCATGCAAAAATGACACATTTCTGCTTTAAGAATATTTAATGAACATTTCATTGTAAATGAAATCACTGCAGAGTTGAGTTGATGGACTATCTGGACAGCATTGACTGCAGTCTGGAAGACTTCCAAGCCATGCTGTATGGAAAACAGTTCAGCATTGACCCAGATATCATACAGGTTTGTTTGGAGATTCCATAAGCCATGTGTTTTGTTTTGTTTTTTTGTTGAAAAGCTCTAAAATAATTTCCAATGATGCATCGCTCAGCTGCTATAATTCACCATGATGACTTGTTTAATTTTATTCTGCATTGTCATATTTTGATAAAGCTGTTTTTTTTTCCATTTGCTGTTGACAGCAAGCTGTCTCGGAAACAAAGGATAGCATTCACAAAGGGGAGCCTGACAACAAAGGTAATTGTTGCATGTTCCTTTATAAATCAGTGTCATTTGTGTGCCCTCACTGTGCTTTGTTTACTAGCGTGTTGGTTACTTCATTCAGATAAGCAGCTGATCCAGTATACAACCTGCCCTCTGCTGGCCTTCATAGATGGATGCACCCCTCTGGCCCCACCAGATTCTCCAACTGAAAACCTGAGCCAGCCTATCCTGCCTCAGAGCCCTGAAAACTTCACAGACCTGTTGGACAAGGACCTGGAGACGGAGACGCCTCGCAGCTCTCTGATCCGTCTGGAGCCCCTCACAGAGGCGGAGGCGAGCGAGACCACGCTGTTCTGCCTGTGCGATCTGAACTCTGACCTGCCCAGTGACGACACGCCACAGCTTGATTTC